TTTTCACATGCAATGTAAAAAACAAAAAACAAGTAAGTGCCTCAAACGATGAATTCAAAGTAAAACACAAAGAGAAGTATTGTCCTTACCACCTCTGAACCAATTTTAGCATTATGAGTTTAGTGGATGAACGAGGCCGTGGAGAACTGAATGTGAAAGGAGACAAAGGCATAAAGAACACATTCAGCACACGACAAAGTGCCAATCATTCAAAAAATGAACATACTAGGCATCAACTTCTACAATTTATTCTGTAATCAGAGTATAATGTTTTGTGTGCATTAGTATAGTTTTGACAGAGGTGAGCTGGCAATCAGCCAAAGCAGCTTGCTTTTATCAGCTGTAACATGAAAGTGATGTGCTAGCAAGGCATTTGTGTGATGAACATACAATGTTCCCATAGCACCATAATAGAGCACCTCGCACTGCTTGCTAAGACCCTCATAGAAAACCAACATTTAAACCTCTGCTAAGTGTAAAGGTCATAACTGACATTGTTCCATGTAAAATGTAGTCAAGAAGGGTATGTGGCATAAAACATGTTCCACTTGTTCTCCAACAACTTGTCCACTTATGCAAAACGTTTTATTCAAACTACTGAGATCCATAACCCAAGAGTAGCCTAAACCAAAAAAAAAACTAAAAAAACTGACTTGTGAATTAGTAGAATTGATGTATAAATATATTGATCTACAGTGATTAAAATAATCTGTTTATAGTTAATTAAAGTAAAGCAAAGTACAAAATTAACAAAGTGAAGATTTTTAAGGGCTTTATAATTTGAATGAAAAAGCCAGCTAACCCAAGTTACACTATAATCCATCTGGACAATTAGGGAATGGTCAGCAATGTTTTGGTCAATAGTGTAAGCACAACAAGGTAGGAATCCTTGTTTATGCTCAATTCCAAGATTAATTTTACCCACTATGACATGTCATTTACAGGGTTTCTAATCTTACCCATATCAACTTAAGTTTTTCCAGAAACAAGGATTCTGTCACTTGATATGCTCTGTTTTCCCTGTGGGGAAGTACAGATACACCAAAATGTTTTGTCTAGTTTCTACAGTATTTTTCTGCTGTATTACATATACCATCATCCAAATCTAAGAAATTGAATTTGCTGGGGGAAAAAAAGAATACTGCATGTGAACACACTCCCTAAGTTCTTCTGGAGCCTGATGGCTACTGAAAGTGTTGAACTAATTCCAGGGAATAAAAATGTAAACACTTTTATTTCCATATATGGCTGCTAAATGTTATCCGATCTACTTCAAAACCACCAAATCTGTATTTCAATGTAGCAAATACACCTTCCACCCTGGATATATCAACAGCATTTTCTAATTTCTATGATTAAGCTTAAGCTGTTTTAAAAACTAACAATATTAACAGCAGCAATGAAGAACAGAGGCATACTTGGGAAACCAGTTGAGGCCCAGATGCTCTGTCTTCGAGAACAGAATCCTGTCATGCAGCTCGTACAGTGGTCTCCACGGCAACTCAAGGTCGTCCCTTGACAGTAGTTCCCTTTTCCTGTTAGATGAATCAGAGATAGAGATAGATGAGAATAAACACAGAGATCTTAGCTCATGCAGCTCTACACTATGAAAAAAATCCATAAGATCCCACAATGTATTATCATTGGTGGGTTTGCAGTATTTTTTTTTTTTGAAACCATCCAACTTAAATCTTGGGGAAACAACGACTCAAAAATATCTCCGACTACCGTGTTTAATGTTTGTACAAACAGTTGAGTGAAACAGATGGGGCCCATTCTTACTTGAGGAGGTTGATAAGAAGCCGTGCAAGGCCCTGCATCATGCTGATCTCCAGTCTGGGGATCGTTACTAGCTCATAGAGCAACTTGATGAACAGCACATGGTCTTCTTTGCTGAACTTCCGCCCATACAGTCTCATGTACCTAAATAAGAAACAGATTTGGGGATAATTGCTTGAGTGTCAACATACATAATAAGTCATCAGAACCCCTGTGGGCAACATGAACAACACAGCCTTAGGTGCTTATGTTCTCTCATGCTTAAAAAAATAATTATTATAACAAACTCAGGCATCCAAAAATTAAGAGAGTGAGAACACAGGCACACATTTTTTTAAATGACACAACTAAAGCTGAAATAGCTTCCCTGAGACCTTTGAAATTGACCATTATAAAATGTCTGTAATACTGTTAAAATGCCAAAATACCAGTGAACAGAATCTGGGTCAACCCCACAGTAAACTTTCCATCTCTCTGAGCCGGCAATGACTCACTCTTGGACAGCCAATGCGCCAGCATTGGGGACTGAAACGGATTAAAGACTGCCCAGCAACCAAGTGCAACAAAATGAAACAGCACTCTAAGTAATCCACTGTCATATATGCTGATGCGATCATACTCATTATTAAATAACTGAAAAATAAATGTTAAAAGGGGTAAAATATAATTCTGCTATTTATTGTAGTTACTAAGATCAAATGAACAAGTATGATTTCATTTATCTATGTGGCAGTTAAATTCCATCAGATAACAGACACTAAAACTATATGAAACAAAAAGCTGGGTGTGAATGAGAACACATAAGTACCCATATTTTCCCATAATAATCAAATAATCAAAATCTTTATTATGAAATATCTCATGAGCTGTCACCTGACTCCCTGAAAATGTCAAAGCCGGAACACAAGTGGAAAAATAATGACAATGACCTACTACTGTGCTGCACTGCCAGGATCACGTTGTGTATTTGACACTTGCCCCGATTATGAAACCTATACCGTTCCTAATCAGATACACTGGGCGGTTTGTAGTTTGTGGGTATAAACAGCTAGCTAACATTTAATAACCCATGAAAACATACCAGGGTACAAAGCAGTACAGGCTTTCAAAAATATTTACAAATAACGCCAGAGTTTCTGAGCAAGCCCCTGACCAGTGTGTACAGGTGCAACAAGAACAAACTAATAGCCTAAAAAACAATCTTCTGCGTTGCCAAAAATAAACGGTACACAGAGAAATGTTTGTGTGCACAACACATTATAATATTACGCAAAAGTTTGCTTCCGTTCCTTCAAGGGGCTCAAGATTGAAAACATTATACAATGAACAACAACTGGTAATGTTACGTTAGGATGCCAGAGATTAGTGTTACTTACGTGGAAAGTTTCCTTGTCCAGAACAGCACCCCGGGCCATATCTCTCTAAGCTGAACAGCTCGGGCCAAATTTCCTTTTATTTTACCCAAAATATCATTAGATTCACCATCGAGCCTATCCGCGTACGGCAGAAGTTTGTTGTATACGATGTCTTTTTGAGGAACAAAACCCAATGTGTCAGACTGTGCCTTTTTCATATTACCAATTCCAACCGGCTAGCTTCACTGTGCTAGCGAAAATTCAGTTTTACTTCGTTCGGTTTCCCAGTGCACGTTGTTATGCTACCCGGCTAATATAACGGCTAGCAGCTCCCCAGCTAGCTACCCTCTCTGATGAATCCTAAGGTTGTTATGGCCCGCACACTGACTAAGTTATGAAATTCACAAGTTGATAACACGCTAGCTAGCCACCTAGCTTAAGTTAAGTCAGCTTCCGTTACCGGAAAACACCAACATGATCAGTTTCATCTTATAAAAAATATTAAGGCTAACGAAAAACACGGGTTTATCCAGAGAACGCGTTGGCACTCGAATACCCCTCTTTCGGCTAACGTTATCCTACGAACCTGACAATCCGCTAACGGTCTAGCTAAAGTTAGCTCTCTACTACGAAATCACAGTCACATCCCATGAAGTATCAACGTCGACTGGTTCATCCAACTACGGCAAAGGAGATCGCAGACGACACCCAGCTACCCGCTACACAACACAGACGTCATGTCCGCTGGCTTATCAGAAAACTACATTTCCCAGCATTCCCCTCTCCATTCATGCTTTTTATAAATGGTTAACCTTTGGCCACTCACACAGGGTAACTTGAAATCCACTTAGGGCTTCGTGTCGACTCAGGTGTTTTTTCTACTGCAGTAATTTGCTCTTTTTTTAGGCCAAAATGGCTACCCCAAAGATCTTTACTATTTTGTGAGAATCTTTTACCCCAATTAGCCTCATTATTCATGATTGAGTAAATGTTACTGTTGCCACGATTGCTAAGCTATTAGTACTAATTGCCAAATCACAAAACACATATGCAGAGGCTATACACGCAAAATGAAGCTAAAAGGCTAATAAATTGATATATATGTAAATATAATAGTTAATGCAATTCAACAAGTCTCAGCCCATAATAGCATTATCATTCAATCATTAATTTTGTGGTGGAGATTTGATCAGCCTTGTGAATTTAGATTTTGATTTGTCATTACTGTAGACTGGTCATGTATGATAATAATGAATGGTAACATGATCAGTACTGCACATGGTGTGGATGATAGTGAACAGTGACCGCCATCTTGCGGTTAAAATAGGTACAAGTAGCAAGAAACGATTTATCAAACAGTAAGAAGTCCCACTCTGACCGTATTTTCAAGTATCACTGTGGTCAAACTTACTGTAGTCTACCAAAAACGGCTAAATGTACCGCTTACGATAGAAAAATGTAGTAATGAGAGATTTAAAAAAGAACCGAGGCGCTTGTGATAACTAGCATATGAAAGAAATATCTTAAGAGGCATCAGATATTTATCAGACCAAGGTTAGTTTTTATTTTCGATTGTGTGTTAAACCCTACTCTGGCATAGACAATCTAATGTAACGGAAATTGATCTGGTGTCCTAGCAACCTGTAGCATTAGTCCAACTGAAACTTTGGCGTCGAGGAAACGTCGTCTCAAAACGTTAGCTAGACCTAATGCAACTTTAATTTAACTATTTTTGCAACAAAAGTAACTGAAATACAGGGTAAAGTTCAGTCTTCAGTCTGGTTTAACAGGAAACAATTAGCTGTATATTTGCTGGCGGCAGCACACATCACAAAGGGTCGTGTCGTGGTTTGTGGAGGAGCTAAGATGATGTTTGAAAAGCTCACTTTGGCTTGTGATAGACTCCTATCACATCGGCAGCTCGCATGTTGTAACTCATATTGTGGCATCCCACTGCATGGGAAAGACATGTTGATTTACAGTAATGTAGATATCCAGCAGAAGGTATGTTAACAAAGTTTTGTTTACAGTGTGTTCCTTTTTAAAATAAATCAAGAATGCCATTAATTAGCTAGTACCACTAGGCAAGCTTTTGCAAGATGCCAACCACAATGAGCCATTATTGTGTGAAATTTGTTTGTAATGTAAGAATTATCCCATGTGTATTTTATATTTGAACAGCTGAACATGCATTTTTGTTTACATTGTTGCCTCTTTAACAAATAGCCAATTATATGTTTTATATAGGTTCACTATTCTGTATATGTTATGCAAAACATAGGTTAGGGTATTAATTTAAAATACTAAGTAGTGGTAAATAAAACATTTTTTAATTGAATGTTTGCACAAATTGGCCACAATCTTGTAAGACAAAATAGCATCTTACAGTATAGTAATATAATTCATATTCATTTTATTAAGGTAGGGAAAGAGAAGATGCTGTGTTGAATTGTAATCTGAATTCTGTAAGGCCTTGAGCTTTGTTTGTTAATAATTGTTGACACTAGGAGCCACAGACAGCATGGATTTGTTATAATCTAAATGTTTGTCCACAGCCCCTGCTGCTGACTGGCCACCATGGTGAGATCAGTGCCATGACTTTTGGAAAAGGAAGCAGACCTGTTCTCCTCTGCTCTGCCTCTGCCGATTATATCATTGTATGGGATATTGATCTGTGCCAGAAGAGAGCGATGGAGGGTAAGGACATATTTAATAGGTGCTGAAGTCTGTGCAGTAAAGAGTTGCTCCCTTATTTTGGCTTGCTGTCTTTAACATTAGTTTTATTCAATGTTTGATTTATTCATATCAAACCATACAGGACACTTTTGCTGTTACACTGCTAAAATGCCTAAATCAACAATTTCTCATAATCTCTATAATGCCCAACAACTTTAATTCCCTTTTAAATTACAGAGCTGTGAGTGTTGTCATTTTTCCTAAATTAAAATCTTAACAAGCCTGCTATCTAGTGAAATATTACCAGATAGGTCACTCACATCTACTATGGTCATGAACCTCTTTTGATTTGAATGTAAACACTGATTAAAATAGATTTCCTTGCAGGTAAAGTTGCAGCTGGAATAGTTATCGGGACTTTACTGGGTGAAGTCATCCATCTGTCATTCTGTTTCTCTGATGAACGAGTGGCTGCATGCTCAGGAGCTACTGTATATATTCTCTGCTCAAAGGTACAAAATGATGAACATTTTTACAGTTTCTCTTAATGAAGATAAACACATGCTGAATACCTTTGAGCTCATGAGTAAGCTCGATACTGTATGTCATTTTCTGTTTCTCATATTGATTAAAAATACGGTTCTTAATACTGTACTTTTTTGTGCTTCGCGCTATTAAACCAGATCGCTGTGAAAAAATGTGCAATATTGTTTGTTCATGATGGATTAGTAGCCATCAAAATCATCATCATTTTCATTGTTGTTTTCCACATTAGAGAAAGGAAGTTGTGTCTTCTTTGACCGGCCACCTCGGACCTTTAACATCAGCAGAGTTTTGTCCCTGGAATAAAGACATTATCATCACCACATCAGAGGACCGCACTTTTAAGGTACACACGCAAGATTCACAAATGATACAGTCAAAAATTATATGATGTGGTTGTATACACAACAAATACCAAATATGCCACTCTCTGAAACTGAGTTTTGACTATGAAGTACTTTGCCTCTCCTCTCAGGTGTGGGATTTAAAAACTGGAGGTGTATGCTACCACTCCTTTGTGCTTTCAGGTATGATATTACCCTTTATTTATTTACTTTTCATGTGGGCATTGTACATAAAGGTCTGAATGCTTTATTAGATTTGTACAGTAGAAGTGGTAGAATTAAAAAGTATTAGTGGGATCAGTTTGAATTGGGAACTGTGTAAATTAGCTTTGAGTATCCAAATATAAGTGTCAAGTTTTATGTTTAAGCACTAGTAAGACTTAAGTACAAGCATTTTATATATAATGATTAATGAAGTAAAAGTTTAGATATCATGTTTAGAGACTGCTATAGAGGAGTCAGAGCCTTGCAAAATGAGTGAAAATATGATATTCTCTGCTAGTTCAGCTAAAAATTCCTCAATTCTTTAGCCTCTCCACTGCTCAGTGCATTCTTCTTGGAGGAGACCAGGCACTTCATCACTGGCTCAGTTGATGGACAGGTTAGTGACCGACACACACCCTTTAACAGTTCAAAATCACCACCAGAGACTGAAATACTGCAAGCTATATAACACACCTGTATCTGTTTGGTTCAGGTGTGGTGCTTTTCTCTCCACGATGACCACAAGTGTCACCTGGTGACCAAAATGGACCTTCAGAAGATGGAAAAAAGACATCAAATGCACCAAGACACTGTGGGCCATCAAGCAGGTGATGTTAAAACCTAACAATGACAGAGAGGGTGTAGTACCGGCTGATCATGAACCATACACATCTTTTAAGCCTTGAGTTGTTTTGACACAACTTTTTGGATATTTTCTTTCAGAGGATGCAGATCAATCAGCTGTAGATAAGGTGGAGACTGAAAAACCTGTCTTCAAAATGGCTTTTTGTAGCTCACTTACTGACACCAATAATGAGCAGATAAAGTGAGTAAACACTGTATATGGATTTGTAGTATTAATAAGCAGTTTGAAATGTTAGATATGTGATTTAAAACATTAGCTCATCCCAAGAACCTGCTTGTTGCCTGTTCTTGATTTGCTTATGAAGGAGATTTTCTGGGCCTAGTTACCACAGGAGACTCCTGACTGGAATACTGCAATAATCACAATAAAGTTCCACACATCATGGCTTCAATTGTCTCCATCCTATACAGCTACTCCTATCTTATGCTCAGCATAAAACTAATGACGTGCTAAAATGTAAAACTTCTCCACAACATTATAACCTCAGCATGTAGCTCAGTGCAGGAACAGGATAAAAACAATCCATCAGACTCAACTTCCTCTCCATTATACTCTGTGTTGTAGTAGTTTCCATCTCTCTGGGTGTGCATAGTTTAGACTACATGAAGTCAAAGGAAACCTATAGGCCTATGGTGGGCATGTCTTACCACTCCATCACATCAGTATGTTTTTCTTTAGTATGCGGTTACGTTGTCTTTCCCCAAATGATCTGGAAAAAATGCTTTTTAGGGGAAATCCTGTAACACTGTTTTTCCATACGTTTCTGTGTGGGTCCCTGCAGGGACAACAGCTGGTTATGTATTGGAAGCTCAGATGGCCTGTATGTGGTGGATCTGGCTACCTCAGAGCTCCTAACAGTACTATATTTCAAAGGTAGGCCACTTGTGGTGTGACTTCTCCGATTACTACTGTACTGCTGTAATATGTTTAAGCAGTTTTGCGCATCTAGTGCACCATTACTAGGTTTTAGCAGAAATCATTTCACAAGAAAAACACACAAATCTTGCTTCTTCATTTTGGTATCTGGAAATATCTCAAGGTTGTTTAGGCTACCGTCAGGTAGCACTATTTTTATGGTCTTTTAGGTTAATAAGGTAATTGTCTTTCTCCTGTAAAACACAGGATTGCTCTTTAGATATTCCAATTTTGAGACATCAAAAAATATTTGGGTTGGCTTGCAAGATAATAGCCACAAAATGACCATCTGAACAGAGGTAACATATGGCACAGTGTCAATAAAAAGTCACCATCATAAACTTAACTAAAATAGAATGTATATATTTATCTATTGTAATGATATGTATATAGTGACAGTATATACTGTATTTGCTCACATTAACTCAGCAAATGATTTTCAGTGTTAGTTTTTTGCGTAACATACAGCACCTGATACATAATATGTATGAACTGGAAATATATTCTTCTAGATTACCCCAACCTGGGCATCACAATGGCTGGGTCGTGGTCAATCTCTCCAAGACGGGATAACTCTGTGAGTAATTCCAATAATATCTTGGTAAACCAGAGTAAGACACTGTACTCTCCTCTGTTGTTCCATTGGTCTATTTCTTGTGTTGCAAGTGATCCTTTGACCACTTGTTGAGGGTTGTGCGTGCTTGGCTTCTTTAGTCATTCCTGAATCTTGTCAGTTTATGACGATACAAGTCACATAAAAATGACAAGTTTAACTGAATTTATAAACATTTGCAGAATGAACCACTGAAATCAATCCGCATTGAGTAACTGGATCTATGTTCATTTTGTTTCCTGTATTAATTATGACTGTCTTAGGACACTCCTGTGCTTAAATTTTGATATTTTTATAACACAGCTTTTTATGTTTTCACAACCCACATAATGACATTTTTACAAGATTTGACTGCGATTTGCTTCCTGAAGGAAATTGATGTTTTTTTTGTTCCCACAGAGAAGCAAGGGTGTGTTGTAGTGCAGTGTAAAAGCACAACACCCTGACTTACTGTTGTCCTTATTTCCCTGAATATTATTCATAAACACATTCTTCATTTCTTTTTAAGACAGTTATGGACTAATACTTTTGATTTGAGATTTTTATATATTAATTCTTTCTTGAATTCCTTGTCACACAGATGGTATTTTTAGTGAGCTCTTTGTTTACTCCTTGCGTCGTGCTGTTGGAGTTACATCTTCGTGACCTTGGGAGGATCCGGGCTTGTGGTGAAAGCTTTTCAGTGTTCCCGAGGTAAACCTGAAGTTAAAGGCAAATATTGGTGATGCTGCTGTATGATGACTGCCTTGGAAAAATTGTCCTTTTTGCACAGCCTCTTCAATATAGAGATCAAAGTAACAAATGAACTCTATTGGTAAAAAGTCAGTATCTTGCACAAGAATCCTTCAGCCCAGCCTTGTATACACAGGGGCTGGAAACCTGGTTTTCTTCTAAAAAGACTACCTGCTAAATACAGTATTATGTAATATGGCATTGTAAATAATATTCTGTCATTTGCTTATTCAGTGGGAGTAGTACAGTCAATATCATGAAACAATTAACAAAAGACACAAATAGGAGGAAAACAACTGCTTCTCTGTAATCATTTGTAATCATTTCTTTCCAGCCTGGATCTGCTCTTCTCAGTGTATGATTTAACTCTGTGAACATTTTTTATATGTCTAAGCTTTTAAATCTGCATTAGTTTTAATAAAGTTGTCCATACTGGATGTGCTCCTTAATGTGCTCCAGGAAATCACACGTATTACTCTCACAATAACTACACTTTATAAATGCCAAAAAATTAAAATTGTCCCCCGGGGAAGGAATGATATTCATTCAGGTATTAGCTGTACCTCCATAAATGATTATTTAGAAAAATTCCAGCACTAATAAATAGTGATAATTTCATCAACATTATGTGTGTTTCTAATTTACAAATGCGTAATTTATGAGCCAAAGCATAATCATGTCAGCTTGTTAAATTTTGCAGAAATGCTGCAGTTATAGACTTTTGTTACCTTCTCTCAGACCCTGGTCACCTGACCTCACCAGCAATAGGACATATGAGTGTGGCCTGTTTTCCAGTTGGCCTCCTGCCTATGACTCCTGACTCTGACATTTCCATATTAACTTGGCCTATTATAGCCATTCTTGCCATCTGGTTTTTCATGAGTCAACAATATCATGGTACTGAGAATTAGAGGGACTAATAATCCATAACGGTGGAAAATGCTGTGCTCCTTTATTTCCAGTAACTCTTTCCCCCATTTCACCCCTCCCTTGTTTTCAGCTCTCCTCTGCTGCTTGAATCTCCTCTGAATGCTCAGTTAAAGAAGAAGGAACCCAGTCATCCTAAAAAGAAAGGTCAGCATCCCTGTCGTCTTGACACTACTCACTCACCTTTCACTTATGCTCATGCACATAAAATAAAAAGGGAGCTGCTGCTGTTTGATGGCTCTGGGTTTTAAAAGTATGACCCATTTTATAATTCACTCCATGACTGGCTCACTGTCTGTTTTGCTTGGCCTCAGACAATTCTTTTAAATTGTACTTATTGTAGATTTATAGAAAGTCTTGTTGGCTATTACAAGAGCCACTGAGAACCTCCTCATTATCTGTAAATATAGAGGATGGAAAAGATTCCATCCTTTGCATTGTGGGGGCTGTCGCTGTGGTATTCATAATTAGATTCCCCTCAGTTTCCATTTGCCACATAAGCAGGTACTTGAAATTTTGCAAAAGTAAGAGTAACATTTAGAGTGATACATTTTTACTAATAAGCCCAGTTTGTTGCATGGATGATTCTTGCAGTAGTGGATTCCGAGGTAAAATGATCCTATTTGTGGTTCTTTGGTGTATCATTAGGATCTGCCAGCTTGAAACTATTCTGCTGGAGACCTACAGTATACTGAGGTTTACATGTTGCTCTTACAGAGAGTTAGTGCTGAGAAAGCCAGTATTAGCTGGGCTCCCCACAGCTGGAGTGAGGGGAGCTGCCAGTGCCTGACTATGTAGGAGATCTTCACGGGAGTCTAGAAGTGCTGCATGACTACAATGTCGACCAAAAACCACAAACATTTACAGACATAGTGCTTCCCACTATGCTGCGCTCATGCATCATTGTATTGTTAAGGATATCTGCAGAAGTGTATACAAATTACACCATAAACCTCTGAGACTCCTGGAAAGGAAAATGTTCTCCACTATAAGTCTGGCACAAGTCTGAAGGAGCTTTTTAAAAAGCTTTTGTGTGAGTGCAGATTAGATATCTTTTGTCATGTCACACTGCCGTGTAACATAATCACGAAGTGAATGAGGACTGTTGGCTTTTCGAGATGATGATAATCAGGCGCTTTTACTTTTTGCATGATGTCACCTGTCTGAAGTGTAAACCCCAAGTCCTGTTTTATGGTTGGGATAATCAGTGAACTACTAAAGCAGCACTTTCATAGAAAGTGATCAAGTCAATAATAACAATAACAATATACCTTAATACTTCAATGTTTTTCTTTGTTAGGAATATGTAACTTTATAAAAAAAAGGTGCCTTAATTTGTCCATGAATGTCATCAATGTCAAAAAATGAAACGACAAGCTTAGATTTATATAAAAATACTGGGGGCTCATCCACAGTATCATCTGAATGACTGCTGCAAGACAATAAGTACCTTATTGTTTAGTACTTCTTGTTAGGTTTCATATTTGTAATTGCTTGCAGTCTTCAGGTATGGTGCCTTTTTACTTCTACTCTTGCTTCTTTTCTCCTCCTGTGTGCCCCACTTTTCACAGCTCAGTAAGGCAATAACTCATACCAGTGACTCTGGTTACAGTCAAAATAATACCTTAGAGTCATATATACCTGCTATGGTTTATACATTTTTAGAAGCTTGAATTATTTAGTCTTTTTCTTGGGCCACATTCCATCAGCTAACTTAGAGGGAGGTCTGACTTTTGCCATCTCCCATTCTCTGACTAAAAACTCATGAGCCTTGTCGCTTCTAATGCAGGCAACCCAAACTGTAAAACAAATCGTTGAAACAACAAATCACATAATCTAAAATATTGATAGATATTTTAAGTGTTGTCAATCCAAGCAGCCAAATAAGCTCTCATGGTTTTTAGTCCTAAACACAGCAGGAAGGCTACATGATGGTGCAGCACTTTACTGGTTACTGTCACCATAACCTTTTGTAGCTCTTACACATCCTGATATGTTGAGCTAGATTGAAGAATTTCAGTATTATGAAACTTTTTGCCATAATGGTTAAGACAGCTTAGGCTAAGTTTTACATAATGAGAGCTGTAAAAGGAGCACTCAGCAAACTGCTGTGATTTTACGCAGATATGACACGACTTGGAAATTTGTCTGAAACTCTCACTTTGCTTCAAATAGCATCTAGTGTAAAGTCAGCGTAAATTATAAGATTTTTACTGCCCCATAAAACTAAATGACCATTATACATCAGCAGGGAGTCAATAGGGCTGTTGAGCAACGCCAAGTGATTGTGTTGCCCGGTAATTAGATTTCTGGCATAAAATGCTTATTGCATATAATCTGTTCTGGCTCAAAAGCTAGTTCCAGTACCACCTTCACACACAAAACAATGGAGGAATGGAGGAAGGTGCTACATGTGAGTGACCAGTGGCAAGAGGGCTGAACAATTAATCGAAATATTATCAAAATTCCAATATGGCCAAGTAGAATATTCAAAGGTCAGGAGGTGTAACTTTGATGAGGGTAAAATATGCCACAATATGCCTTTATAAATGAAGCATTGTGGTGCTACAGAGATACCCCGGCCTTCAAATCATGTTCTCCAGACATAGGGGAGCATGTTTGTGTGGTACAAACCCCAGCAGAAATCACATTATCATTTTTATATTTTTTTCAGGGAAAATGAAATTCAAAAATGATCATTTCCAGTTCAAGTCTCATGACTCATATTGCAATCGCAAAATATCTGTCAAAATAATCACAATATGATATGTCACTCAGCCCCAGGTGGGACAACACCTTTCGATCTTAAGTTAAAAAGGCAATGCCATATTTGTTATGTACTGTTTTATACTGTCTTTGCTGATTTGTACAATATAGTACCAATTTGACCTAAGTTAAATACCAGGTTCACCAAACCTTGTATATTGCTTTGTAAGCACCTGATACAATGAAGGCTTCTTCATGGGAAAAAATTAAGTTGAACTAAGGAAGCAAATAAGAATATTGCTTTTAAAGAAGCAACCCAGCATAAATAGTGCCAGTAATACTTTCATTTGGGGCTGGACAGATAAAGAAACAACATGTACATAGAGAAGCTCAAATTTCAATTCAAAATCCAAGGAAAAGGGAAAAGAGTAATTGTTCAGAGGATGTCAAGTGTATTTTACAGGAAAATACCATTCAAGCCAAAACCAGAGTGAACATTGGCACTGCTCATCAAAGATCTCATCCCAGATAAGACTGCTTTGAAAAGAGAAACACTAGGTATTGAAGTTATTAACTATAGGTTTGCTTGTGGTTATTGACTGTCATCAGACATTCTGTTATTGGGTTTCTTTTTCAAAAAACTTTAAAGAATAGTTCAAATGTCACCTGCCATTCTGACATTTACACAATTAACTTGCCCAAGTTTACTTGTAGTTTGTAGTTTTGTTAGTCAACTAAATCCATGACAAATTAATGTAATGTAATTAAATACATTTTTACAGGTTACAGGTAATAAACTAGTGTTAATCTGGGGGCTGTCAACCAAATCAGTATATTTTTAATGCCGCTTGTATTTGACAGGAGAACAGTTTTTGGAAAGCCTCACACATTTTAATAGCTGTGGAAAAAGTGAGCTCATTGTAATGTAGTAAAGGCACTGACAGCGAACAGGGAGCAGAATGAAACATCCCACAGTTTGTGGCTGATGCGCTTAATCCTCACGGCGCAGAGTGGTCACCCAGTAATATTGTATCATCCTTTCATAGTATAATTCATGAAAGTCCACTTCAGTATAATGAGTAGTTCTATCCCAGTTATGGAAAATACTGCACAGAAGTCTTTTTTTCCTTTGAAGATTTGACCCATATTGTATAACTACTTACTCATGATATCTGTTGATTTGTAAATGGGACTCTTTGTTTTTAGTATCTTTTATCTCTGTTTGTTCACATGTCATTTATACTCATCCAATTTGTGGTAATTTCTCTGTGTCTTATTTACCGGCTGGTCATTTCACAAAGGAGGAACAAAGGAGCAGCCTCTGGTTTTCCATTCAAAAGTGAAATCATCTGGATACACCAGTGCCCCACGGTAGGTCTCACACTGTACTGTAAAATACTCCAGATAAAACATACCTACAAAGTGATCTTCATTGTATGACTTGTCTTGTTTAAGTTAACTTTACACTCATCCAGGGGAGGTCAGTGTGGGCAGAGGGGCAAGTAGAGCAGGTGTTATTTCCCCAGAAACTTTTCAGGGATTCTCAGACAGTCCTTCAGAGAGGGTCAGATCACAGAGCATCACCCCATGGTGCCTCATCACTGCATCTGACTGGTTTTCACACAGTCATCTCCTTTACTGACAGTTGCTACTGGCAGATTCTCAAGTTTTCAACATGATAAAAACCAACTTCTTTATTACTTTCCCCCATCAGCCTTTTACAGCTATTTCAGCAATGATCTATTTAACCTCCCCCTGGAGACACAATCTTTGTGAGTTCCCCACTAGGCATTCCCAGCAAACCCTCCAGGCTTGTCTGGCATTCAACTCATCACCATTTTGCAACTAATTAGTATGAAATGAGATTTGATGAATCAAACAATCTGATGCATGAAACATCACAGGAAGATTTTTGTTTTGTTTTTGCTTTTCAGAAGGATAATGTTTTCACCCAAAACAAATATTCAGAAGAGTCATTCCTCTAAAAAGGCTAACAAAACTACGTAAGCTGTCCCATCATTTAAAATACAATGTTTAGAAAGTTTTAAAATGTTATTTTTGATATAAATACTAAACCTCTTTTTTGTCATTTAGAGGTTTACTCAGAGATTATCCAGCAGACAGTGCAGCACCTACTGTTCCACATGTTCATCTCAGCGTTGCTAACAAGGCAGTCAACTGCCTTCATTATTCAGGTGAGATAATCTTACATCTAACATAATGATATATTTAAATAAGTGGCCAGTCAAAAATTCTAAAATCATTATGCATTTCTGTCTTCTCAAATATTACAAAAAGTATTAGTAAAAGTGAGTATAGATAACGATAATCCCCAGAACAAAGAAGTAATAAAAAGAAGTGTGAGACAGAGACAAGAGTATGAGGATCTGAGGTTTTTCGGTGAGAATTGGAGGTGGTACGCTTTTCCATTTTTGGTAATAATAAATCAGCTGTTGACTAAAATATCCTAAAACAATTTTGTTTCCTTGTCTCTCCCAGGTGATGGAAAACAAATCCTGTGTGGTCTGGGCGACAGCTCAGTGTTATTGTACAAGTCCTCCCTTACTGGCAATCCAGCTGTCTACACAGGTGCATGAAGCAGACATGAGTATCCATACCCTAAAAACCTCTGGTTGTACAGCAACACCCCCCACCCAAAACCCTGCAATTGTACATAGTATACGTTGATATCCTCACATTTCAATCTGTTTGTCACTTGATGGATCAAGTGCAGCAGAAACAGACTCCACAAGGGGGCAGGAGAGATAAGAGGACAGAAGTTGAGGTGACCAGCAGGTCACTGTGAGCCTCTTCTCTTCACTCTGCCCGACTCTCTGAACAGTACCATAAAAGTAAATGTTGCATCCATACACAGTATCTGCAGTTTAATTTCAAACCTCTATCTCTGCATGCAGGTCATGACAAGCCAGTGAGCAGTGTTAGCTGGAGCCTCAACAGACAGTGGTGGTTGAGTGCATCAGAAGACCAGTCACTACGAGTCTGGGCGCATGGCAGCACAGAGCCTGCCATTATCATGGTAAATGTCCCATGCATTCACTGACGCACCCTTGTACTTGTGTGTTTTTTCCTTTTTTTTTTTTTATAGGTTACATTTAATCTCTATCACCCTCATGTTAACTATCACCACTACATGCCCTACCTTAAGCCTTAATCAAACCTTCACTCACTCATTATTCTAAGCCTAAGTCCTAACCATAAAATAACAGTGAAATGAGGACCAGCCAGAGTGACCTCATATTGCAAAAATGTCCTCCCTCTGAAGGTCTAAAAACTCAAATTGGTTCTGAAGTAAAACCAAATAACTACAGACACATGCTGTACACATTTTTCACTCTCACTTCTGTCTTAAAAGACGGCTGTGATTACTGGAAGGATTTTCTCTGTAATTGCAGTGTTGCAAATGAGGCAATGATACCACACTTGAATGACAGTAAAACAGTGGTTGCTACTGTATCCACAATGTTTTGCTTCATGTTCTCATTTGTTGTTCTTAGTAAGATGCTTTCAAGGTATAATGTCTCAGGTTTGGATCCTGTGATAAAGTTGCATACTGTACTAAGATATGTGTAGTGTATCAAGTGTGACGGAAAGAGTGAGCTATATTATTAAATATAATGGTACAATGCAGGTAAGAGATGCTATGATGAAAATGACCCAATTTGCTTAGACTGTAACACATCAGAAACTTAGTCATGCACCTTTATAATTGAGGGTTTGTAGGGGAATTTCTGTATAATGTTCAAAATGTATCTTTGACATTTTAATATAAAGCCTGCTTAATTCACTCTTTCCTTTTCTAATAGAATAGCCTCATGGAATTAAAAATGAGAAAGCCAAATTAATTGGGATGATAAATGGTGTGTTTCTTGGCTCAAAGATAGCGACTTTGTCATTCAAAGCATCTGCCGGACTCAGAGCATCCAAAACTCTGATCATACACAGACCCTCCTTACTTCATTGGGTATCATGTTTAATAGGACAGTCAGAAGTGTGTCTACTTTCCCAGGCCAAGTGAAAACAAAGGTCTGTCGTCAAAATCCGGGGTGTCCCCACTGCTGATGTTAACCATCTCAGCTTTGCTCTACTCAGTGAGATTGTTTTGAGCTTGGCTGGGCCTGTAGCCTTTGACTGCTTGGTGTTCTTGTGAAACAACCTGGCAACAAGTGCAGGTCTTTTCAGGGACAAGAGCTCTGCCGGGGTGTGCCAGATTTACAAATAGCTTTCCACAGTTACTGTCCACTTGAAAACTCAATAAAGAAATAACTTGACCACACAGTATTCTTTTTAGATTTCTTGTCATTGGACGTCTTTAAATGTCAGATAGTTGTAGCACAACTCTAAACCTGGACAGAGTAAAAGTCTGACAGGACAGCCCATCTGTTTGCCTCTTTTACCTTGACAGACTCTAACTATGCCCTTTGTGGGTTAAGGAGAACCACTACATACCGTGTTTCTTATGAGGATGCCTCTTCCTGAGTTAACTCCCTCCTTTTTTGTAACAGATTTTCTTTTCCCTTTTTCCACATGGTATGAAAAACGCCTCTATCAACTGTGGGTAGACAGAAATGAGGAGTTGTTGGTTGTGAAATTGGGTCAGGGATATCTGACTTGAGCAAACATTTAAGATTAAATGATCTACTATTAATGCTCATTAAGTCTATTGCTCTGAGTTTGATGGGATTACTTAGACAAAGCCGTTTATGCAAATTATCACATTTGAGATTGTTGTGTGTATCATTCAGAGCACTTGAAAGCTCTAAACTATGTACAGTACTCACTCTTATAGCTTTTTATTACTTTCAGAATGTGATTCTCTTAGCTGTGACTCTACTGTAAATTACAATACATTGTTAGACAACACCATTTGTGAGCATACTTTTTCAAGGTTATTGTCTTTATTAGAATCAATTACATTCCCAGCAATTAAAAAAAGAAAAGTGGAAGAGAAAAGCATTGATAAGGTGTATTCTTATTATTTATCCTTCATATTAAATTACATTAAATTATATTTTTAATAGTATGTTTTCCTGCATCATGTATGTCTCAATAATTTCAAGAGAGATTTATCATTGTCTGTCTTCTTTTCTCTTGAAGGGTGACAGTTTGTTCTCCAAACCCATAAGAGGTGCTCAGTTTTACTACCTCGACAAATTTCTGCTTTTTGCATCTGGACCCTCCCTGTACTTGTACCTGTATAATGTGGACATCACACGCGATGACATCAAGAGGTATTACAAGTGGTTACTGTATATACAGAACAGTTTAACATATGCTATAAAGTCGATGATGATACAAAAGCTAGCTATTGGTTGTGAGTTGTTTTTACAGATGCACATTAATTACAATTTTGATATGATTGCTTGTTACATTATGCTATGCAAAAAAATGTAGATCACTAGAGTTAGGGGGAAAAAATTCTCTTTGTTTTTTGTGTCACGCTGAGTCAGTTTTTCACACAACTGAACACCTTGGGTAATCAAATTAAGTTATGGGTCTTATACAGTTGATAGTAAAAATGCATGTTTTTGAAGAGTGTCAGACAGTCTACCAATGGGAAATCAACAAAATCCTTCACCAGCAAGGCCTCAAATCATACATTAAACTATGTTATTAACATAGCAGTAGTCCCATTATACTGTATTATCTCAAAATGTAGTATTTGACTGTTCAAGCATTTTGCACAAAAATAAGGGATATCACTGTAATATTCAATTTCTGTATCAGTGTACTGTATTTACTGCTCATGCTTTTTATATTCTAGTTTTGTTTTAATTAACTGTTCTTTCCTGGAAGCCACAGGTAGAATACAGCTGAAACACGCTGAAATGGCATGGTACTGGTGGTACTGGTTGTTCTCTATTTGTGCTTTTTTGTCTGAGAAACATCATTACATAAAAAAACAGATTGTGTTACACAATCATAATGGTATACATTCAAATCTCAATGCTGCACAGTAGAACAGTGTTTTTCCTGTCTTGTTGGCCTCTAACAGTAACATTGACACATTGGGGTTAAGTGCCTTCCTCAAAAGAAGATTAACAATACTTGCAGAGTAGAGAGGGCCTTTTCCAGAGACTCAAACCAGTCACCTGCCACCTGCAATGCAAATACATCTATTGCAGCAACACTGCAATTCCACGTAAAAAGGGGATATAGATCAAGATTTGTCTTTTTTATAGGAAGCTGGCTTTATTGGTGATTTGATGGGGGCCTGGCTTTATTTAGCTGCTACCACAGTCACTGCTGACACTCATTACCACCTAAATTGCTTGACTGTGTACTGTAAGCTGTCAGAGTTTACTCTGGAGGCCAGAAAAATGACAATAAATGGCCTCCATACCCCTTTTTAGCAGTGCATGTTGCTCATTCATTATTTTTCCTCTTTCGGCAGTAATTCATGTGATGCGTCTTGTGGATGGGAAACAATTGAACTGTCACCATTCAATAAAAACGAAATCATAAATCCATTGTAAAGGGTAGTGCCTCCTACTGAATTCTCTCCTTCAGCTGTATAGCTCAGACAGGGAGCAACAATGATTGGTGTGTGGAGAGATTATGTTAAAAGTTTTATCGTGTAGTTACCTTCGTCGGTTGAGAAAATAATGCAACTTCTATTTCTTCTTAGATATCAGCAGCGGAGTGTCGTCAAATTGGCGAGGTGCCTTACAACAACATCACCAACCGACATCACTGCCTTGTCTGCAGTCAATGATTTCTTCTCTTGTATCCTTTTTGCTTGTTGTTATTGTTCGTGTAACAGGAAGTGTTAGTGTCTAGACTGCACTGTTGCTGTGGAGGGCAAAGTGAGCTTATGCCTTCAGTAGATTTACTTGGAGCATCTGGTTGGACCAGTTCCATGTCAACCACAGCAATCAGTCTGTGCTTCATAAAGTCTTCACATGTCGCCCCAGGGCTGCCGATTTTACCTGTAAGTGATTTAGGTGTCTTTAATTTTTCAGGAATGTCTGCATTCCAACCCCTTGTTAAGGTTTACAGTGTATTTACTTTCCAATAAATCCACTGAACTGAGCTGCGTTTGGATGAGTGAGATCCTGTCGGGAATTATTTTGCACCTCTGTGCACAGGCCAAATAGAAAATAACTACACAGTGATTACACTGAAAAAAGTATTTGTTGCCTGGATTAGGAGTTAACGTGTATATCATTAAAAATCCAACTGAGGACTTTAGTCCATTTAACTCAATGTGTAAATGGACACCATGCAGAAGGAGACACTCACTTGTATAAATATGCTAAAATCCACATGAATTTAAAGTGACAACTCAATGAATATAAATTACTTAATGAAAACAATTTCTAATATTTGTATGATATATATTATATATGTATAATATTTGATTTTTATTTCACTCAGAGTATCTTTTCTTAGATGTTGTAAAAAAAAAAAACCTGAGTAATAATAATAATAATAATAATAATAATAATAAGATTTATTTGTATAGCAGAAAGTGCTTTACAACAAAGATATTACATGCACCAGTATTAAAAAACTGTATTTAGATGGCTAAATACAACATCTGGGAAACTTGCTGACAGGTACTGACATTTGAAAGCTATATACTCATCACAGCATGGAATGATAGAAACTGTCTGCAAGAAAGCTAACTATGTGCTATGTGTGGGTTGTCTTATGACAAAATAAAAGCAAACTAATGTATTCAGCCACTCAGCTCAGCACCAGCTTCCAGTGCTAGTCCATGAAGAATAAGGGAAGGCTTTACATAAGTTATTGATCAAAAACAGTATGTAATATCTTACTTTGTAGTGCTGGCCCCCAGAGTTAAATCTCCCAGAAGAGTCATTTTGAACATGTATTGCATCAGGCCTATAGTATCTAAATAATAGTTGCCATTACTTCTCTTGACAGCTATCTCAGACATTGTCCTGCTGTGTGGTTCAGATCGATCCATTCAAGTGTTTGACATGAACAAAAGTACAGTGTCCTCAGAGCTGCCTGATGCCCACAGCAGAGCTGTCCACTGCATTACACAGAACAAGGTGAGGCCATTTAAATGTTCTTGTTACAAAACAGACTAAATACCCAGTACAAATTTAAAAGTTCCATCTATTATATATTATGTTTGTTTTATTAAGATAAGAAATGTGTTCTTTATGTGGTCTCTATGCACAAATTCTTTGCAGATAAAAAAAATGTTAAATATTAGGAAAACTTGAAAACTGGAAGTTTTACTCCTAATGTAACTGGTGAGAAATATAACCAGTTAAATTTCAAAGTTTCAGTATTGTTTATATCTCGCATTCAGTACATTCTTATATAGTTAAGAAATACAATGCATATGAAGTACAAATGTATTTCATACGAATTCCATTACATTTATTCTTAAGTTTCCTCCTAATTTAAATTTGCCTTAAATCATGCACGCTAATATCTTGAAAATAGCACTTTTCTTTAAAATCATTTTAATTACTGAACAACAAATGTTTATTGTAATTAAAAACTCACATATGCAAGTTTCTTATGCTCATGAGTTTTTGTCAAATATGTTTCAGACTTTTGCACTTTTACCAAAACTTACAATAACTTCAAACCTTTCTGAATGACAGAGGCAAAGACATCTTATCTCTCCACCGGCAGGCTGAGTGACGTATATTCTTAACCCACACAGTGAAGAATTTGCTTGACTTGGCATCAGTTGGTTGTGTGAGCCCCATCTTCCATCTTACTCTAGAAGGGTCTAGTATTTGGCAGATGTTGTGGAGTTACATAAGACATCTACGAGTGTTGCGCAAGTTACATAAGGCAGAGATCGTCTTTGAGGGAATAAAAGTGTTAGTTTGCGGTGTGAATGAAAAAGGTCATGGTTTAAAAAAAAATGTCTTGGTTACCCAAAAGTTTCCATGACAGACAGACAGGACATGCCATCATCAGTATCATTCATCTTACTGAGTGTTTGAATGTAAATCCCTGGTGCATCAGGATTAAGACTGCCATAGGAGATGGCAGGAGGAGATTCCATGCTGGATGATGGTCTTGGAGTAAAACTGTTCCATTATGCACTTTGGGTTTATGTGGCCTTACTCCCACATCACTGTCTTGGACCAATATGGGCCCAATTTGCTGGTGTCTAACAAGTAGACAGCTTGGGCCTGTATCCACATCCATTATAGTGCTATGAGGAATGTAATACTCTATCACTCAAAATGAAACTATAATATCAGTAATAAATCCACGCATTCAAGTGTGGGGTTCTGCATATTATTTACATTTCTTTATAGCTATCACATTACAGTGAAAAGAAGGTCCTGGTTTCTCTCCATATATAGTCATATCAATGTTTGCCAGATTTGTAATCACAACAAAGCCATTCATTTTGATCATAAAAATTATGGAAGTTTTGACCAATCAGATGCTTATATAACTTATTGGAATATAGAAAATGTTTATTTGTGCAGCCTTGTACCCAGTGACCTTGAGGTTTTAACTTCAGTCACTTCTCCGTGTTGACCTGTGCATAGTTGACACTCAGGCCAGTCTGGATTAGCTGCACACACTGCAGCTAGTAGCACGGATTAAATGCATTAACCCATTCAACTGCGATGCACTGTTGCACACAGCTGACTATACTCCTTCTACCCAGAGGTGCCTGTTCTTTGTCACGCCAGCTATTGTGTTCATACATTGTGGAAAGCCTGCAGAGTGTTGTTACAGCTTGGCTATTACGTCAATGTGGGGTCCTCCGCCTGGGTGCCCGAGGGCCTTTGGGTGCTGTAGGGTTAATACCTGCGGATCAGAGGGATTGCCCCTGCTTGGAGACTGCACACATAACATCACTCTTCTCTCCACTCTTGCTTTCTCGTCCCGAGGCGTACCAAACATCAGGAACTTTAGCATGTGAAGCAGCTTTTCCCACTTCAAATTTCCATCGCCCCTTGTGCAAAATTCACCTGGAACTCATCAGAGCAGAGGACTTCATGGAAAATGGAACTGGAAATGCCCTCTCAGACTCCCATTCTCACACTCTTAATGGAAATCTAAACAAAAAACACCCCCACCGCTGCTCTCTCACTCTCGTGCTCTCTCTTCCTCTCTCTCTCACACACACACACACACACACACACACACACACATTTGATTGAATCTTCTGATAACCTGGTGTGAAAAATATAAAATATTCACGTATAGATGTGCAGTGGAAACTTCAGTGGAAATATATTTACAGCTGGTGCCTATCTCAGTGTGGTACATAAAAGATGAAAGATGACACACAAAGGCAAATGTATAACAATTGTGCCTCCATTCCAGTTTTATTTCCAGCCCGATGTGTTTGCAGTGCTTTATTGTCAGCATCTACTTTTAAGTAGTACTAATGCTACCTTGAATAATAATATAAACACTATATGCAATGCAGGATACACAACAGTGGAATAGTCCAGTACTGGAGGATAAGATAAGCTGATTTACAACCCATTTCAGTCAAACATGTGCTGAATAGACATTTTTGGGCTTTTTTTTCTGTATACTTCGCAGGGCTCCATGTTCAGCACACAGGCACCGGAGTCATACAACCTCTTCCTCACCAGTGCAGTCACAGATGGTGTAAAGATTTGGGATCTCCGTACTCTTAGGTTGGTATTGATTCTCTCTTTTCTGTTGGATTTGTAATCAACGTACACTTATTGGGAAAATCAGGCAAGAAATGTGTGATGAAACAGCTATGTCTGTATATACATTTTACTAGGTTCTTCAGAAGAAAAATTATGTTCAAAAACCCCTCAGCAAAACCTCAGTGGCATTATAGTACTGTATAGAAAGTTAAACAAAACAAGAAATCATTTATACTTTCCTTTGGTCATGATGTTATGGACATTGATTTGGAATGACTGGCATACAATTCTGAAGTTACTTTCTCATGATGACATAACAATATTTTGCCTTGAATTCAGATTCAGGCATTGTAGCACCTGAATGCAACCTCTATAACAGATTAGCATCATTGTTTTTGTGTAATATCTATGTATTTTTTTCTGTTCCTGACAGAAAGACAAACCTATCATGTTTGCTGTGATGAGTAATGTCCAGGAAACTGTTAATTGCCAACAATAATGTGTGCCCTATTTGTTTTGTGCCCACTATACAGTCATATAACCCAACTAACCTCTACTGAGTCCTTGCACTACTTGAAGGGTTGCTTCATCAAATCTGTTGAAATTGCCTAACAGCAATAATTGTTCAAGCACATTAAGAAAGAAACCATTATTGTTTTTTTTCCTCTGCTAATCCCAGGAGTGCAAAATTATCTTATATTCAAATTACATCAACACTTTTTGTCAGAAAAACATTCCTAACTTGATGAGTGAATGGGCAGTCATTCAATTTCCAAAGTACGTAGCTGAGAATATTTTTCTTTGGCCCTTAGTAGCAGATATCCATATAAGGCAGATAATTCAAGTAGGCTCTCTTGGATTTTAGAATGTTCTTTTTGGCCCAGTAGAAGGCATTATTGAGTATTTCATTCTTTCATGTCTGTGATTGCTTCCATGTTTAACTTCTCATCCCAGACTCCATCAAAACCTTATTTCTATCTGATAAATATTTGTGCCTGGTTTCCAGGTCAACTTCTGGTTCTGAGAGCTGTCATCAAGCTCCCTCAGCAGATGCTGTTCTTCTGAGGTGAAACATATGGATGCTTGAGAACAATATGTAGAAGCTTTTTTTTTCATTCTGTTGGCCCTGTTAATTTTATTTCCCTCTTTAATGAACCTTTTGTTTCTTTTTCTGTAGCTAGTACCAACTTCAGAAAGACTTGCAGCTCCCCTAAATTAAATTCTATGTTTTTCTTTTTATACGAAGGCTTGAAGCTAATGGAAGTAATTAAGATAGTTCTTGGTTTTCTCCTCATGATGATGGAGGCAATATAAAAATTCTTGGAACAATGTGTGGCATGAGTAAACCTTACATAAGGTGGTCATAAGACTGATCTTCATGATAATCAAATTATTTTAGTCAGTGCAGCTTTCCCCTAAATGGAACCATCTCATATAATTTTTGCTCAGGGCTTGGCAAGAAGAGTATGAAGAGTTTTATCAGTTGTGAAAAACAAATCTTCATGGCATTAAAGTGACAAATGATCCCGGCATATGAAATTAATTAAAAAGAAAAAAAAGAAAAAAGTAGCTCTCTCTAAATCTCTGAGTAAGCAGGAGTTACAGGGGCATGACCCTGGAAACACATGTTGCTGTTATATTTTGATACTTTGAGCATCACAAATAAAATTAAATTTTCCTCATTGTATTGCACTGGTGGCAAAAGTTTCTAAAAAAATATCTTTAAACTTAAAATCAAAGCTTTTTGAATGGCCAGAGGTAAGAGAGAAAATATGTTTTTGTGATTTTGCTAAACTGACCCTTAATCTACTGAATGAACTTCCAGGAAATAGTGAAGTATGTAAAGATAATGTTGTTTATTTCCTCTTATCTATTCCAATTATGTTAATCCAGCCAGGAGCAAATTTAAATGACAAGAAACTTTTCACCTTTCCATTAGTTATACATACAAGTATATAGAAATTTGGTTGCAGGCAAAGTGTAACATCAAATCACTCAGGAAGTCAGTGAGACTAGACATTCTCTCACCAAACCTGACTGATTAAATAGGCAGTCATGTTAATTTGGCATTCTCAAAAATGTAATGTTTTGCAGCTGGAGTCATTAATGGAGTTATTTTATGCCCTGATGCTGAGTTTTGATGATGAAGTTTTTTACACACAACTACACTGACAGACAGTCTAAGTTCAGACAAAGTTGAGGTTAATACTGTATTTTGTCTTTGATCAAAGAGAGCTTCCAAAAAACCACAATGGGAAATGTACATTTCACTGAGTGGAAACTTCGGAAACTTAATTTTATTTTATTTTAACTCTTAATTTTATTTTGCTTTGTCACCAGAGAATCCTCAGCACTTTTTTCCCCTTCCTTTTCAGACCGAAGCATAAACAAGCATGATACCCACGTGTATCCATCAAAGATTGAATGAGGGTAATGGTTTTTGAAACCAGCACCAGCACCAGCATTTAGCATAGTTAAAAATCAGATCCACTCAGATACGGGTTCTAAAGCTAGAGAGAACAGATGGTGATCTGTTTCTCTTTAGTCCAGTGATGTATTCCCCGTAAATCTCTTGGAATTTCCATCATCTGATAATTTCATGCTGAGCAATGCATTCTGTGACTAAATAGATCGTTAATGTATTCAAATGAAATAGTATTAAACTGTACAATAAAAAGTAAGCTTTCACCTGATTTGCACTGACACAGAAAAATTGGGTGAACTATACTGGCTGTAAATAATGACCTATGTTTAGCCTGCTGATTACCTTGATGACTGACACTGAATACCCAGGTGGATTCAGTAACCGTATAGGAACCCACTCAAGAGGATCAGACCCTCCGGTGCAGTCTGTGTTAGTCATCAGGCAAATGCCGAATAGTCATCACTCATACAACATGAAGAATGTGTGTGGGATTCAGCCCCGCATATCTTCTCCTTCAGTCAAAACATTAAGTCCACTTTCTGACCTAGAAAACCAGATGAGTGTTTACTCTAACTTGTTAAACTGCTTCTCATCAGTGTGATAGTGACAGGTTGTTTCAGCTCTGCTGCAGACCTAGATGTCCAGATTTACTGATAGGGATTTAGAAACAGATGCGTCTCATCCATCCTGCAATGCATCTCAATGATTAGAGGTCAGATTTGCTACTATTTTGTCATAAGTAGCTCACACTGGAGATAATATAATCCTATTGGATATAAGTATATCCTTAAATTCAAGCTAACCTGCACAAATTTAGAAGTATTTACAAAATGAAAACATTCCAAACATGAAATTCAATGTTTTAGTTTTCAGTGAAGCAAATGGCTTAGCACTAGTCTGTCAGCTCCACAGTCAAGGTTATTGGTTGTCTTTTTTCGTTTACCTTGTTGTGTTGGTTTTTTTTTTTTTTTTTTGCTGAACAGCAACAGTGTGTCCAGCTCTAGGATCACAAATGTTCGTGAGTGACTGAATGAGTGATCATAGTTGAGTGATCTTATTTCCACCATTGGTCACTGAATGCCACATGACTGAGTTGGAGCTTCCCCATTGACTGTTGCAATATCAAAATGAGTTGGCGCCAACCGCTTTCATTAGTGTTTTTTTTTTTTATAGCCTGCAGTGTTGCCAACTTAGCACATCTGTCGCTATATTTGGAGACTTTTTTTTCAAATAAGACTAGGTATAAATCTGGTGTATGGCTGGACTGTGACTTGCAGGGAAACTGAGTAGCGCTTCCAATCCATGGAGCCTAGCCTTCACTACAGCAAATAGTCTACTTTCATTTCATATATCATAATTACTAAAGGAGGAATAACGAAACATAAGACACACCGAGTAGAGAGCGCAGAAGAGTGGGAGGGAGAGAGAGAAACCACTGGTAACAGCTAAGCTGAAGAAGCTAGCAGATCTGAATTGCATGTAAACAACAGAAAAACCAACAACGGGAAATGAGACAATACGCTTACTGCAGCACAGCAATGAAAGCCCTGTTAATAAATAAAGGGTTTCTGACCACTGAAAGTCTAGAGGGCTTTTAATTTGAAACAATTACAGGAAGTGATGAGTTTTTACTAACACGAAATGAAGTAACTTTTAACACGGCAAGCAGGAGCAACTGAAAACAAGGCTTTGTATTAAAATACTGGTGACCAATTGTACATATCAAAAACAGGGAATTTGAATTAAAGACCTGTCTCTAATACAAGTCTGCCTCAAATAAAGGCCTGTTACCTTTTGCAGTTGGGTTAAAGGCCAACTCAATTTTTGAGGAAATATAGTTGAAAACTATTGTGGATCCCAAATTGAGAGTGTGTGCTGTGTGAGAGGCAAAATGAGAAAAATATTCAGTTGCTTCTAACTTTCTCTCTGAGTGGTCATTTAACAAGTGAATATAGCTGAAAATCACAGCACGGTCTTGGTTTTTAACTTGTAACTATGTGTATAATGATTTTGTCAGGTGATGTGACTGTTATAAAATCAGGATTTTAGCATTGCAGAGACTTGGAAATGGCTTGGAAGTTAGCCTGTAGTTTTAATGGGCTGCGTTTCAGTCATTATTTCAAACTTTTGACAATAGAAACAGAAAATACGTGAATAAGAACAGCTTTATTGGAAATTTGGCTGTATTAAAATACAGGATAAAATATAGGAGAGAAGCAAACAGGACTGACTGAACAGACTGAAAATGGTTGACACTATGCAGATTGCAGATCGGATATGATGATGTCAGTTGTTTATAGCAGTTCCACAACAGTTTTCAACTACGCCCTCAATTTTGCACATTGAGCACATGCAGTCCAGCCATATAGTAGTTTTTGACCTAATCTTGTTTTCCCATTTGATTGGCTGCATTTGCTGTCAATCATGCCCAAATTTTGATTTGTCAGCCTCTGTTTTCTCAGTTTATAATTGAGTGACTAAGCTCAGCTACATCATAATAATGCTAATTACCTTTGCTCACCATACTCTTGTGTGTAATGACGTAAAGACACAAGAGCATGGTCCCACAGTCTTGCCACAAACCTTTTTTTTTCAGTCAGGTGGCCATTTTTTAGCTGAACCAAGTCAATCTCATGAGGTGTTCAGTTGCAGCCAGAAACTTGTGACTTAAACTTCTGAGGGCTAAATGGGCAGATAGTGTAGTTAGCTGACAGCGAAAGTATTCTGGAAAAATGAGAGGAACACCTTACAAATTACAGTAATCCCTCTGAATACAACACTGCAAAAAAAATCTTGTTGACTCAGTCTTAATAACAGTTCGACATTGTAAGATTCATAAAGGTTGTATTTATTGCTTAGCAATTATATGAACGTGTTCCCATGTGTCCACCCAGGGTATATTTAAAGAACTCACTGGTGCTGAGTATATCAAATTTCTTCATCGTCACAAGTGAATATGACCTACTTTTAGTTCAGCTTAATGACATTAGCATGTGAATGTGAAAGACATGCTCTCACCAGAGCCATGCCAGCCCATATAGAAACCCTAGCTCAACTAGCTGTTAGTGGCATTGTAAAGACATTACATGCTGTTGCAAACCAAATGAAACAGCACAGAAGTTGCACGTGGGGGCCATTCGTCATCTACTACCTTCTCTTTTCCTGTGTTTTGCTTGAGTCATGCTCAACTCTCCTGTCTTCGGCTGGTTCCGATGTTTGTAAAAATGTGAAGTCTGCAGGGTGGCATTCTGCTCCTCACACCAAAGATATCTCACTTCTCAAACATGACCCTTTCTATTTCACAGTCTTTCTTGGCACACAGAGATCAGGGTAAAAAAAAAAAACTAAACTAAAACTAAGATTGTATTATGACATCACCAGTCATGAGACTGGTTTATTAACCTCACCACTGTGTGCATCACTTCCTCAGGTGTGTACGGCGTTATGAGAACCATCTAAATCGCTGCCATCCATGCTCTTCAGCCATCTCACCATGCGGCCGGTTCATTGCCTCGGGATCTGAGGATAACTGTGTAAGTTGTAATAAGGTTTTCCTTATAGGGTGTGTGTTTCATTCTCCCTTGTATAGACCTCTGTGGTCATATTATCTCTGACAGTCAGGTTTTGTGTAAGCATAATTTGACAAAATTACTATGATAATCAATTTATTATTGATCTAAAATTGAATGGGGTGACAAAGCACTTTAAGAGGGTATCCATATATCAATGTCTGCCTAGTTTTTGTCAAGTCTTTGGTGAATCTGCTGTTGAGAAAGCAACCAAATATGGGCTTGAGATATTGTCACAAAAGCATCAAAGTGAAATTATGCCTACAGTACCATAATGTAAAGGAGCAGATAAGGCTTGTATACATTTTTTTATATTATTTATATTATTACTATTATTTTGTACCTTCTGCCATGTGTGTTAAATTGGAGCTGCAATTCACATAAGCAACAAAGTATTCGGACTACAGTAAATTATTTTATGTATAATTTGTTTATGCTTTATACTGTTTATATCTTAGCTGATCTTGTAAATGTGAAAGACAGCAACATGTCTTTATCAGTATTACCTCCATTTTAGGTGCTTGTTTGTGCTTGACTCAGAGATTTTTATTTGGAACCAGGCCTTTTTCCATAGAGGTCAAATTCAGCATTCATGTTGAAGCAGAACTGTTTAATTGCTTTTCCAGACAGTGCCTTATACTTGCTTTCAAGACAATTTTCAGAAAACTGCCTCCCTTTTCCTTAACCATCTCTCTTTTCTTCTGGTGTATGTGCTTGTTGAAAGCAGTGGAATAATATATGCACGCCTCTAGTTATTATTAATTATGGGGGCTCAACGCAACACGGACATTTGAGAGCATCTCTGTTGAGATCGGACATTTCCAGCGTTTCGTGGAAATCGGGAGAGTATAGTGTAGTGAGCTACACCATATTTATTTGTAGCTGCCCAGAGACTTCTATAAGCCAGACACATTCGTACTTGTCTTAATATATCAAAAAGCAATCATGGAGAAAAAAGAACGTGAATACTCGAAAAAGACTCCCTAGATCATATTACACATTTTCCAAAAAACACAAGGCCAAAAACAGTCGGAGTAGAAAGTTATTTCAGTGTGTTCAATTTTAACCTGTTATATGTTCAATTGAAATATGTGTTATTTTCCCTTGCTTTGACCCTGCCTCTTATCATCTGACATGAAATTGATTGTTTTAGAAGATGGCAGTTTTTTTTTTTAATTGTTAATCAAGACATATGCTGCTGATGCAGTTTTCATACCTCAGGCTCCTTTGCTCCTGCTCTCTGCTTCAGTTACTGTTGATATATGGTGAACCGATACATCTGGGGATCCCTGTTATATTTTAGCATTCCTGAAACTTTTCCCTTCCAAGTATCTAATGCCCTCTTTGGCACAACACGTCATATGCCTCAGACAGGAGACACTCTACCCATGGACCATCTGACGAAGCTCACTTGAAGCGTTTTTCAAGGAAACATAATACAAAACAGCTGCAAGAATCTGATGAGTTGCCGTCTGGTAACAAACATCCCCACAGCTATTTTTATCTGTGCTTGTGGCACTGAAGCAAACAACTGAGCCTTAAAACTCAGGGATTCTACTTAAATAAGAAAAACTGTGCTAACAAGCAGATAACACATTCACATATCATTTCTAATATTTCAGATTTAAGTGTTGATTCTAATGTCTACACAGGCAGAATGCAGATATTTTTTGTGCATCCAATGCCAAGTGTAAAATCTACACCAACAAATTAAAGGGTTGGTTCACAAGGCTTTTACTGCCTCAAAGCAGAAAATAACAGTAATCTATGTGCAAGGGGTTCGTGTGAATTGTCAATAAGTCTCAATGGCCACTTAATTTTGTTTCCTCAGTATTTGAGTGCTATGAGTGTGTGATGAGCCTCAACAGCCAAGACTTTTTTATTGCAATGGCTTTTGGATTTGATGCTGACGGGAAGTGTTACAGCAGTGTTTTTTGTTTTGTTTTTAAATGTGTGCGTTTTGATGTTTTAAATTTTATACTTGTAGAGTCTGTTTACTAAGAGTTTTTAGCATTTAAAGAGCAACTTAATACAAGAATGAAAATCTTTTTTTTGCCCTCCTTTCCCTTCCCCTTTAACTTCCTGTCTTGCTGCAGTGATGTACAATCACTGTTTTCACACATCACTGTTGGGCATAGTTATAGGCACAACAGAGCAAACCTCTGACCATACCCAACCACAACCTCCACTGATGCTGTGTGCTGGATACAACACACATGAAACTTTCAGCCAGGTGCGCAATGAAACACCACCTTTCCATCAGGTGTTGAATTACTCTTAATCAAAATATGTGAAACCACTTTGTGAATCATTGTTTATGTTACCGTAACACAAGCAGTTTTACAAGCAGGGAATCAGGAAACGTTGCTAATTTTAGACCATTTTCTGTCAGCAACGAAAAATGAAACAAAACGAAGAATCTGGTAGTTTTTGATGTCAGCTTCTGATACGACAGACATAGTTTGTTTATCACTCAAAATGTATTGGATATTGTTTTGATTGCCAGCCCCAGAGTTCTCTTTAAATACACTGCAGAACTCCAGAGTCAGTTGGGTTTAGTTCAGCAGTTGGGATAACTGATTCTGGCACAGATGATGCATGATTTTATGTGTCTGATTACTGATATCAACATGCGCCAAGTCTTACCGTCTAGCCAATCTCTGAACATAGTCAAAAATGTCTGGTGTTCATCAAGAAAACTGTAATCAGTGAGAGAATATTTACAGTGAACTATTAAGATGTCCAGACTCAATACTCTATTATTGACCCCAAATAACTAATGGACAATATGGACGTTAGCTGTGCACACAATGACTGCCTGAGTACGAAACATGCCTTTGTATGTGTGTTCTGGAGCTCAAACTCAGAATGATTGCAAAACTTAAACATAATGAGCCAAAGGTTTCCTTCAAAGTTGAAACTATCCCTAAAGTAAATCTGTTTCCATTTGTTTCTGTCTTTCTATTTTGTATTGTATGTATTTTACACCTATAATGAGCCTCACTAGATGGGTCAACTTAACTAATCTTATATAAGGTTAACATGTCCCACATCTGTATATCACTGCATGGTACAGTTTGCTTATGCTTTTGTTCATGTAGTCCATCTCATTCATTTCAGGCCTATGTGTATGACATCCGTAGCAGCAGTTACCTCCACAAACTTCAAAAACAGTCGGACACAGTGCTCAGTGTGACGTTCAACCCTGCCACACCAGAGGTAAGAACCTTTCTTAACCTTTTGTCATTGTGGCTCTCTTATTTACTTTCTTGTTAGTCCTAAACCATGCTTTCAATGCCCCTTTTCTCATCATCTTAAATAAAGTATCATTCATATTTCTCGATATCCCTGTAACATATTGACCAGAGTAAATATTTTGGTCACATGAAGTAAATGTCTTACTTTGACTTTCCCTTACTGACATCAGACAGCCAAAGTAAAACCAGAGATTGGTCTTACTTTCCAGATGTTGACCTGTGTTAACGCTGCATAAACACCCAAGGGGACATGCATACAGGCAACAGTGTTAATGTGTGTTTTACCCTCCACTCTATCCCTGATTTTGCATGCACATCAATACTGCAGTTCTACAAGGCTTGCTTATCCTTGCAACACAAGGATAGCTGAGTCTTTAAACATGTATTCACCAAGTTTTCATTTGGCAAGGTGGATATTTTTTCTGCATCCCAAACAACAAACTGACCTCAATAAAAAAAATAAGGGGATAACCCTCCCCTGCACACCCTAGCTGATACACTACACTAAGAGTGAGAAGATTTTGTTTTAATGACAAATATTGTTCTTTATGCCAAGAATTTCAAGGTTATGAAGGAAAAATGTTTAAAAGCAAAGAGGTCCCAGTGAGAAGTAGTGTCAGCCAGAGGTCATGTCATCTTTAGTCCAAAAAAACTGCTTCACCTCTTAAGTCTTTAGAATTTTGATAAAGATATGCCTTGTACTTGAATTGTACTTGGGAAATTAACAAGAATTACTGTCATATTGTTTTTGAGCTATCTAAATGTGACGTGATTAAAAAATTCACATTGCATGTTTTTTTTAAGTTGTATATACTGTAAATAATTTTCACAAATTTTGCATAGTCGGTTGGTTACACAGGTCTACATCATCTCTACTTGCTGTGGAGTCTTTGTAAAGAAGGAATGATATCCTAAAGCTGAGGTCACATAGCAGGTCTTATTGAGACCAACCCACAGTTCAGGGTGGGTGGATTTTATGTCAGGGACTTGAAGTAGCCATGAAGGAATTCAATATAAGAACAGAGTTAGAACTAATAACAAGCTCTTTGTATCATTCCATATGTGTGTGATGAATTTACTTCTATGTACTAGTGTTTTTATGTTTCAGTGTGTGGGTACATCTCATTTTGTCTTTGTGTATAAGTAGTGCACACTATACTGAAATTGTTAACAAAACAAATTATCCTCATATAAAAATACAAATACCCCAGAACTCACATATGTATAAACCCCCACAAAAATGCTGTTTGCATAAAAACTACTGAGACAACAACCTTTTTTTCTAAATGCTAGCCTCCTGGACCAATACCATTTTCATTTGAAATGGATATCCCCTAAATCACTCTCTGGGTTTAAGCAGTGGTAGCCAGTTTATAGTCCAATCAGATAATGACTACTGCTCTTCCACACCATAATTCTGTGGGATCTAGTGACTCGCTTTGTGCACTGTGCTGATCCACTTGTATGACTGACTGCCTGCAGGGTTGTTCCAGCCTGTGATTGGCTGCACAGTTCTCAAGTCGGCAAAAGGTATATACAGGGATGTGCTTGTTGACTTCAGGAGCTGCTTTCCACCTTTCTGTTGGCTGTTTATCATTTTTACTGTATCCCTTGTAGCTTAATGTCATGCCATTTTGTTGTGTTCTGTCTAAAATGATGCAACAGAGACAAAATTCAATATTGATAGGATTGTGTGAGCTTCAAATGTCAATTATGCTTTGAATTCTTAAGTTTGTTGCTATGATCTTTCAGATCCATAAATATTCAGGGACAGTAGGCAGTCTTGCTAAAGAAAACATAAAGTAAAGAATAGCACAGGACAAATTTCTTTGTTGCTCTTGAATTGCCATTATAGGAAAGTAAGAATTCTGAGTTTACAATGTTACTTTATGCCAACATCCTTTCAGTGTCCAGAGCATTTCATATAGAGCAACAATTCCCTTTGGAGGTGTTTTATTGTCCAGTTAATGGTTTTCCTTTGTAACTGTTCAAAGCAAGTAGATTTGCAAAACACAGCTTTTAAAATATAATATCCCAACCTCTGCTGGACGCCTCATGAGACTTCTTGTTGACCGTCTTTTGGACTTGAGGCACATGTTTTAAATCTGCATGTCCATCTGTGGAACTCCATTCAGTGAAACTTTGCAGCACAATGATACATTCAGATTTCCAAGTTTGAAAGTGGAAAATTTGATCCGTGGCCATTTACTGGCTGAATTACAGTGATCTGCAGAGTTTGAAGACACACTTCATCAGTCAGAATATGTTCATTCCCCGTCAGTACATCTGTACATTCTGTTTTGTTTGATAGGACATGCTGTCAAAGCAGAAACCCAAAAAAATACTGGCTTTATAGACAGAATTGTAATTGTATTTTTCACCACCAGTGTCACATGGACAGATTAAAGTCTTGTTTTAATCTTATCAAACTCAAAATGTATATGATATATTAGCAGAAAAATATAACCACTCACCATAGTGGTATTGCAATAATACATTGACAAACAATTTCCATGTGGAAATGTGGCTATTTTCCTTGACAAATATTCAAGTTTGTGCAGGTAATTCTTCAGATATATTAATGTGTCATTTTTTATGAGGTCATCTCTTATTGATTTCTACTCTCAGATTTATGTCACTGACCATCTCATACTACAGGTACTTGCAAAATTTGACCAGATTGAAGTCATAAATTTCACAAATGTGTGAAAAAAACTGGAGGGCTCCAGAGGGTCTGCAGCTAAATAAAGAGCCATGACAAGTCTTCCCACATTGGATGTCCAAATAGGAACACCCTGATTCAAAATTATGTTGACATACAGCACAAACTGAGTGAGTTTTGCAGGATTTCACTGGTGCTCATGAAAGAAAGTTAGTTTGTCATACTAACAAATGACCAGTAATACTGTAGTCTATTGAAATACAGCCTCTTATTACACAAGCAATTCTGTATTGACAAACTGTCTGCTGCAGTATTTGTCAAGCAATTTTCTAAATGCGATAAGCACACAGCTACCTTTTTGTTTGCTAAACCAGAGGGACAGAGCTGTTCTTTGTCAACATTCACTGTGGCCTATTTAATGTTTCTGCAGACCTCTTTGAGGGAGGAAGACCTCTACAGTTCTTGAATTGAAATAAAACTGTATGAAATTGAAAGATTCATATCCTGTACCCCTTAGTTTCCCCAAATTAATTTCAGAGTAGTTTGACAAAATTATCCTAACGTGAGTTCCTCTTACTACTACCTACCTCTGTAGCACTTTTAGAACTTTTTGTCCATTATAACTTAAAGTTAGAAATGGAAGGTAATTCTTCATTCTTCAGGTCATCCATCCATTTTCTTCCACTTGTCCGGGATTGGGTTGCGGTTGCAGCCGTCTAAGCAGGGTATTCCAGAAGTCCCTCTACCCAGCAACATTTTCCAGCTCTTCTTTGGGGATCCTGATGCATTCCCTGGCCAGATGGGTTTTGTAATCCCTCCAGCGATCTCTGGGTATACCCCAGGGCCTTTTCCCAGTTGGAAAAACCTCCAAAGGAAGGCGCCCAGGAGGCAGACTAATCAGATGCCCAAACTACCTCAAGGAGGAGCAGCAACTCTACTCTGAGCTCCCTCCAGACATCCAAGATCAGTCAGGCTGATCCTGGACACTCTAAAGAGGAAACTCATTTCAGCTGCTTGTATCCACTGTCTCATTCTTTTGGACATAACCCAGAGCTCATGACCATAGATGAGGGTTGGAACATAGATCGACTGGAAATCGAAAGTTTTGCCTCCCAGCTCAGCTCCCTCCTCAACACAATTGTCCGGTACAATGTCCGCATTACTGCTCATGCCAAACCAATCCGCCTGTCCATCTCACGCTCCATTTTACCATCATTAATGAACAACACCCTGAAATACTTAAATTCCTTCGACTGGGACAGCAACTCCCCCTCAACCTGGAGGAACCAGTCCACGATGGCCTATGACTTAGACTTAGGAGATGCAAACTCTCATCCCAGCCACTTCACACTCAGCAGCTCAGTTCAGTCTGTGTCTGAGAAAATCTTTGCACAGTATCTGGGAAAACATGAGGATTTATAATTATTTCAAGATGCTGAGGAGTTGACCTCTATAGAATCCAGAAGGTTATACCTTTGACTCTCACAGTAATGCCCTTGTCATTTATATGGGCACTATTCTTACTATTACTAAGAGTGTAAGATCTCTCATAGACACATACATAGAGAGTTAGCTCTCAACAAGCTGTCCTTCACATTAACTGAAAAGTGTTTCTTTCCCATTCCTTAGACAGTTGAGCTACTACTGATATATTAAGGGCCTGGCTTTGCTCTGTGAGCCTGTTTCTAGTTAACTTTGAGTTGGTTGATCTAATGTCTGATTGGAAAGGATGCATGCATATTCAACTTTATTTTTCTTTTGTTTGTGGCCAAAGGAGAGATGTGTTAATAAAAAATGAGTAGAAGTTCAAGAAGTCCTGGGAAATGGCCAGTCAGTCTTAACAGTTAACTGAGACCAGGGTCCTGTGATATCATAATACTAACATTGTTGTTATTTCCTGAGCCTGTGCTTTCTCCTTACCAAGACATGAAAAAAATACTGGCAAAAAGTGTCCCCAACCTGTGCTCACCTTGCTTTTAGCCACATTTGAAGGCCAGATGTTCTCCATATTTACTGCTTTGAGAACCCTCCGATGCGAGGCACAGACAGATAATGCAATGCATATTTTCCACTCATTTTTCACTCATGTTTTCCACCTTAATACTTAAAAGACCATCAAGCAGGCAGATCTAGCTCCAGGGTTCATTCCCTCAGGTTTATTCCGGTACTTTAGTCTCTAATGAGAGATCCCAACTTTTACTGTCACTTTACTTTGTTGTCTTGTAAAATCTTGTGGGATTTCACATGGCATACTGTTAAGTTTTGTAAGCTCCCCTGTGTTGGACCTAAAAGTGCTACCA